TGAAGCCCTCCGTCCGTCCGTCCGTCAGTCAGTCAGTCAGTCAGTCAGTCAGTCCGTCCGTCTGTCCGGAAGATAACTCAAATATTAGTTGACCGATTTTCTTCATATTTGGTAGAAAGATGTATATTGATAAATAGTTTTACGCAAAAAAAAATTTTTTCAAGATGGCCGCCACTTTAAAAATGACCAGACTTTTTCGCAAAAATCATAAATTTTTCATTCTAAACCAAAGTTATAAATATTATTGTTTGAAATTTTGGTAGTATATTCACAACATCTATCTATTTCACATATATTCCGTGTTTTTCATCCTGACCCCCAGGAGCCGTGTATGGGGGGTCAGGAAAACAGAGATTTTCGCTAATTTTTAGATCTTTCTGAAGTATAGCTTTATTATACTCAAATGAAAGGCAATTAAGAGTAGATTGCAAATATTGTATCTTTTTTCTGATTCGAGCCTCGTAAAATTCAAAATGGCCGTCTAATGTACGATTCCGCAATAATTTTTCGATCCCTTCAAAGTATGGCTATATTATACTCAAATTGAAGGAATTTTTGAGTAGATCACAATTATGGTATTATTTTTCAGATTTGTACCTCAGAAAATTCAAAATGGCTGTTTTGCAGGAATTCGTAATTCTAAAATCTAAATTTTCCAATTTTAATCAAAGTAATGAGTATAATTGATTGGAATTCGGTAATTGATATTTTGTTCGTTGGGATTTGCTACTCCACGGAGTTGCCGTTATCTAGTTCATATAATGTTAATGAGCTATTGAGCACTAAAGGCTGATTCATTTGATCAAAGTGTAATAGTACTTTCTCTTTAATCTGTACATTTCCTTATCTCTTGTTATTAAATATAATACTCAACTTTACCCATGAGGTACGTGGGTATATAGTTATCAGGAGGACATGGATTATATCGACTCATAAGTTTAAAGTGAATAGAGCTGTAGTATAGATGCCATTTATTAATTTTAAGAATTTACTCAATCTCCATCATCTATTACTGTTAATAGTATTCTTCCCAAACAATAGATTTTGATTCTCTAAAAGAGAGTTTCAAATGCATGACACTAAGTACCTAGCTAGCTCTTGGACTCAGAATAATCATCTCATTATACCAGCTTCAGATAATGATGACTATCTTACAGTTGTAATTGGAATACATCAAATAATGATCTCAAATGTACCTTTCATCTGAGTTTTTATGAAATGTAGCACTCTAATTGTAGGTAAGAACAATAATATCATACAAAGTTGATGTTCATGTATAAACTGATCTTATGTGAGCTTTTGGATTTTAACCTTGTCTGGTTAATAAACAGTCATCTATAGGTATTAAAACTGACTGATAATATATTTCATGGGGTATGTTCCTAGCATGTAATAGGGTATGTTCATAGTATGCAATAGGGTATGTTCATAGCATGCAATAGGGTATGTTCATAGCATGCAATAGGGTATGTTCATAGCATGCAATGGGGTATGTTCATAGCATGCAATAGGGTATGTTCATAGCATGCAATAGGGTATGTTCATAGCATGCAATAGGGTATATTTCATAGCATGCAATAGGGTATGTTCATAGTATGCAATAGGGTATGTTCATAGCATGCAATAGGGTATGTTCATAGCATGTAATAGGGTATGTCCATAGTATGCAATAGGGTATGTTCATAGCATGCAATAGGGTATGTTCATAGCATGCAATAGGGTATGTTCATAGCATGCAATGGGGTATGTTCATAGCATGCAATAGGGTATGTTCATAGCATGCAATAGGGTATGTTCATAGCATGCAATAGGGTATATTTCATAGCATGCAATAGGGTATGTTCATAGTATGCAATAGGGTATGTTCATAGCATGCAATAGGGTATGTTCATAGCATGTAATAGGGTATGTCCATAGTATGCAATAGGGTATGTTCATAGCATGCAATAGGGTATGTTCATAGCATGCAATAGGGTATGTTCATAGCATGTAATAGGGTATGTTCATAGCATGCAATAGGGTATGTTCATAGCATGCAATAGGGTATGTTCATAGCATGCAATAGGGTATGTTCATAACATGCAATAGGGTATGTTCATAGCATGCAATAGGGTATGTTCATAGCATGCAATAGGGTATGTTCATAGCATGCAATGGGGTATGTTCATAGCATGCAATAGGGTATGTTCATAGCATGCAATAGGGTATGTTCATAGCATGCAATAGGGTATATTTCATAGCATGCAATAGGGTATGTTCATAGTATGCAATAGGGTATGTTCATAGCATGCAATAGGGTATGTTCATAGCATGTAATAGGGTATGTCCATAGTATGCAATAGGGTATGTTCATAGCATGCAATAGGGTATGTTCATAGCATGCAATAGGGTATGTTCATAGCATGCAATGGGGTATGTTCATAGCATGCAATAGGGTATGTTCATAGCATGCAATAGGGTATGTTCATAGCATGCAATAGGGTATATTTCATAGCATGCAATAGGGTATGTTCATAGTATGCAATAGGGTATGTTCATAGCATGCAATAGGGTATGTTCATAGCATGTAATAGGGTATGTCCATAGTATGCAATAGGGTATGTTCATAGCATGCAATAGGGTATGTTCATAGCATGCAATAGGGTATGTTCATAGCATGTAATAGGGTATGTTCATAGCATGCAATAGGGTATGTTCATAGCATGCAATAGGGTATGTTCATAGCATGCAATAGGGTATGTTCATAACATGCAATAGGGTATGTTCATAGCATGCAATAGGGTATGTTCATAGCATGTAATAGGGTATGTTCAGCATGCAATACATTTTTTATGTTGTCATTTGGAACAGAGGATAATGCATGAGATACTTATAATAATGGTTACTGTTAAGTATATTAATGTCTCAGTCTTGATTTTGATTTGTTGTTTTCTTGATCAAGATGATATGTTTTTGTATCTTAAATGATTGCAAACTTGAGCGGCTATTTGGAAACCAAATTGATTTTTTATGATTTGATTATAAAACGTAAACATCTTCAATATCCTGTTTGAGATATTGCCAATATGCATGATCCAGCATTTTCTGCAAATGCTGTATTATACTTTATAACATGCTTAGTTATCCCAATGAAAGAAGTTCAATAGGGATATAGTGAAGCCCTCCACCCGTCCGTCAGTCAGTTTGTCTGTCTGTCTGTCTGGTAAATAACTTGTAATGAATGCTAATAGATGGATTTTCTTCATATTTGGTGGAAAGATGAACATTTGTAAATAGTTATACATGTACACAAAAATATTTTTTCAAGATGGCTACTGCTTTGAAGATGGCAGGAATATTTCGTGAAAACCTGAGTATTTCTCACCAAAGTAATGAGTGTTACTGTTTGGAATTCTGGTAATATATATGTACCCATAGATTACATCTTTTTATAGGATTGAGACTGCAATGTGTCATCTTTCTTGTCATTCCTTACTATAATATTTTACATGAGTAAGACTCACTGCATGTAAGCTAGCAGCTAGCCATTCATTAATTCCAATTATCTATGAATAAAGAACTCCTTTCTGAAAGAAATTGAGAATGAACTTGATGAGCGATACATATTCTGATAAAAGGTAGCTTTGATGTTTTTTTAAGTCTCCGGCACATATTGTGGATGAAAATTTATATAGGATCACCCATTGTTTTGGACATGTTGTACACGCTTGTTTTCTTGTATTTTTGCATTCTAGATGATTTAGATTGAAAGTGTTATTGTTTTACTCAGATTCAAATACATTCAAATAAGCTTCATATAAAATCAATGTAACTTTGTGAACATAATGTCCCTTTTGTATGATCTGATTGGTAATTAGACATCCAAGTACCATGAAGATATTCCTGAATCTTGTCCTGCTCTTTTCTCTATTTCTCTTTTTAACTCATGTTCGTTATCTCTTGGCCTTATGATGTACAATAAAAGTTTCGAGTACACATTAATTATTGATAACATATTGCTAATCTTCCTCTTTTCTTCCTTGAATTGTATTTTCATCTGCAATTTTGCTTACAGGTTTGGCGTTCATTATGTATTCAAGAATGCGCAAGGCTGTCATTGATCTAGCCTTAAGAAGCAAATGCAACAAGACCATTTTGACTCTTTGGAATTACATTTCTCATTAGGTTTACTATTACAGGATGAGGATGAAATTGTTGTGCTATGCTAATCATTGAAGCAGAATATATTGTTCAATTTTTTTGCAAAGTAACATATCGTTTTATTAATTCAGTCTTATTATGCTTGTTTGATTTAATAAATCTCTCATGATTTTGATAGAGTATATCCTTACAGTCTTATACACTTAGATTTAGCTTTTTATTTTATGTATGAAGACGTGACCTATTTGGCATTTTTCTACAGGTAGTTGTGGTTTAGTTTACCACAAAAGTTGAAATAGGTGCATGAGTCTTTGGATTCTACAATAATCTCCTGCCACTCTTTTATACATCTTTTTAGTATATGCTACCTATTAACTTATATCCAGCTCTTGTCTCCATATTTATAACACTCTTCTAGATTCTAACACTTAAAAGTTATCCTGGATGTCAAAGTCTCCTACAATATGAAGACGAAGCTCTCTTTTAAATAGCAAATCAAATTATTGGTAAGGGTAGTTATTAAAAAGGAGTAGCAGATTTTTATTGACATATTGTTGTTTTACTATACATGTACTTGGTTTATGAAGTGTTTATTTCCACTTGTTTTCAAGTGCAAACTACTGTACTGAAATATTAGTGGAAACTTCTACATATACTAAGATTACATTGATTTGATTGTATACAGGAAGTGAGTGCTACAGAAACGGGAACCTACAGCAACAGTCTGTGCCTATTTCACAAAGGTAGAGCAAATTTCATCTTGCTGCTGATGTATGATGATTTTTAATCTGTATTTAATCAAACTGTATAAAGCTATTCTTGTTTTTTATTTTATTAACTTCATTTACCCGTCATGTATTTTTAGGTTGGAGGATGTTTTAAGCATCAACTGACAGCATGCCAATGAGAAGAACAATAAAAAATGTCGTTAACAATTACTCGGACGCCCAGGTTAAAGTCCGAGAAGCAACTAGCAATGATCCTTGGGGACCTTCAAGTACACTTATGTCCGAAATTGCGGACTTGACTTACAATGTAGTGGCATTTACTGAGATCATGCAAATGATCTGGAAGAGACTTAACGATCATGGAAAAAATTGGAGGCATGTTTATAAATCACTAATGTTATTGGAGTATATAATAAAAACGGGTAGTGAAAAAGTTGCCCAACAGTGTAAGGAAAATATATTTGCTGTACAAACTCTAAAAGATTTTCAATATGTTGAAGAAAACAAGGATCAAGGGATTAATGTGAGAGAGAAGGCTAAAATGTTGGTGAATTTATTAAAAGATGATGAACGGTTGCGGAATGAAAGGACAAAGGCGTTGAAGGCCAAAGAGAGATTTGCACAGACCTCAGTAGGCATTGGAAGCACTACTCCACCGGTAGGTTCTTAAAAATCATAAGAACTGAATGTTTGGTTTATATATAATTTTGCCGAAAGAATAAAATCTCATTTATACTTCTATCATTATTAACTTAAATAACAAAGATGATTGAATGCGGATCACCTGATTTTATTTTACCTAATGACATTTAACTCTATTATTTCACCTTAGACTGGTAATTAACTGATTTTGATATCACATTATAATATTGCAATGAATCTACTTGTGGCAATTTGAAGCTGCTGTCACCTTTTTGTCCAATTCAGTATTTGGGTCTTCAGTCTCTTTACATTTGACTCTCTTGGCAGATGTAATACATGACATACATCTGTATTCATGTACTCCTCTTCTTAAAATCACATAACACTGTTTGAGGAGGTATCTGTGATCATGAAAGTAGATACTATGGTGAGATAAGGCCATACAATTTATGAAGTCACATTTATTATATAGTCAGTCTAGCATTACCTTTCAATAAAAAAAGTATGGGACTTATACTTAGTCCTTATGACCTCACATAACCTCACATAATGAAGCTTATGGCAGGTTAAGGTCATCTGTTATACAGGAATTATGAATGTATATGTATCAGCCTAAATGCAGTTGTTATCTAAAAAGTATGGCTTAATTTCAAAGCTTTAATATGGAAATGTACATACATGTACATGTTTAAGTAACCATTTGATATCTCTGGCCTCAAAGAGGAAACTAAAGCCTATCATTATGGCATGTCAGCAGCAAAATCATAACTGCTTCTTTCACTATTTGTCAATTACTTTGCTCACTAAGCGCAAACTAGTGAAATTGTTATTCCCTGCCTGTTACAAAAGCTTTAAGTCATATCATTCATTTTTGTGAATGCTTAATCATTCATCGTCACATATGTCATCTCATAGAATAGTAGAAATACTAAAATCATGTAGACCAGTATGTAAATTATAAGCTACACGATTCCCTGGTTGTTTTCTTCAAAACTACCAATTTGCATTTCCTAATCATTTGCAAGATAACATTTTAGCACTTCCTGGTTTTTATCGCCTCTCTACTCTCTATTGGGAATATTCTTATGTTGTGCTGTAATATTGCATTTCAAGCTCAATGTCTAAGTCTGTTATTATCCTCATTTTAACTAAAAGTGGATGTTAATTGCTTAGGTGCAACTGCCATTATTTAATTATTTCCAATGTATATTACTGTAATGAAGGCCATTGTAGTTCTTTCAGACTGTAAGAGGTGATATTTATGATTTTTCTCATTTTCAAGTGGGTACTAGCCTATTTTCAGAATCTGGGTGGTGTGAACTTCAATGCTGGAGATCCTAGCTGAGTTTGTTATTTTTTAAATCTTTTTCTGAGGTTTCTTAGATGTGAGTCTTCTATATCATCCATGTGCACTAGATGTAGATGCAGATTTTTGAAACTTATTGTTTTCAACTTTCAGAAAACTGGAGTGATATACATTAAGGTTTTACTCAGATTATTATTATTTTGTTTTTCAGGGAGATAGATTGAGACATGACAGATCGGGGAGCCCTGCCAAGCATTCCGGGGGTTACACTGACACATACGGTAAGCTGGATATAGAAACTAGGCTCATAATGCAGTAGGGTTGGTTCTAGAATTGATGTTGTCAAGATTATTCCCCATCTAAAGCCAACCCTAGATCACATCCCATAATCTGGACATCATAATAAAGCTTATTAAATTCTTGGCTAATGAGCTAAACAATGCCATAATTGATCATTGGGCACATAATTTGTGAACTTGTGTTTGGTAATCACTCTCGCCTAATTTGTTTGATCCATGACTATTCTTAATGGATTTTTAATAGTAATAGAAAGAAAGGAGCTACATAATCAATTGTATCCTCTACAGCTCTCCGATTAGTTCTTTGAAATATTTAAATCACTTTTTTTCAAACATCATTCCCCTTTAAAGTTCAAGTTTCAATCAAATTCTACTATTTGCCTTTGAAAAATCGTGTCATAAAATGTTTCAAATCACACAGTGGTTTTTAAGATGTTTTTATTATTCCTAGGTACCCCACCCCGGTCAGAGAGTGCTCACAGTGCACTCTCCCATGAAATAGAATCTGCAAGACCAAGTACAACAGGTGAGTAGATAATTTATGTGTATATCTTCACTTTAGAGTCAATGGAAGTCACGAGTCTCTGTAGCATGTACTACATATTTTCACCAACCATATTAGCGGCTTAGGCTGTGAGGACGCACAACAGGCATTAATGCTCTGCTATTAAGCATGGTATTTTTTGAGTGGCCATTTTCCTCAGCTAAATGAAGGCTAACATCATGATAAAATGTTAAGTACAATTAAATCTTTACAGACTATTGATAAATTGTATGTAAATTCAGAAAAATTGAAAAATTAAAATTGTGGACTTCTTTTAGGCGAGGAAGAATTACAACTGCAGTTAGCACTGGCTATGAGCAAAGAGGAACATGATGAGGAAGTGAAAAAGAAACGTCAAGATGATGTGAAACTACAGATGGCGATAGAAGAAAGTGCACGCTCCAAAGATGATGAGGTAAAAGGCTTTTTTCAATGTTATTCAAACCACAATTTTGATATTTTTTTCTATTCTGCTACTTTTGCAATTTTAATGCTTTCATACATGAATTATGATTTTACTTCAATATTTTCCGTAAAGGAGCAGAACATAATAGATCAATAAACGGTCTTTTCAAAAGCTTTCCAACTTTAAAATATAAACAATTTGGTAATGGGTTTTTTCTGTATTGGTTTTAGATTCTAAGAGAAAGTTCTGGAAACCGTCAAAAACACAAGCATGTAAGATTTGCATGGCATGTACTCTATGGCTAATATTGTTAAAATGTAGTTGGTATTCTCTTGCTTCAAGTCTATTCCCCCGCTGTCTTCCTCTCAAACTATATACTGTTTGAGATGAATATGAAGGGGGAAATAATGGGCTCATTAGAAGACAATAAGTTTTTTTGATTTCTTTATATTTTGTATCTTCTCACTGTTTGAAAAAATGTTTTCTTGTATGATCATTAGATGGATTAATGATTGTATTATTAATATCATTTTATCATTTATATAGACATTTTCTTCAAAAGGTTAAAAATTATGTTTTTGTTGTGCATGTATACTTTGTGCAGTATTGTCAGTTGGACCACCTTGCAATTGGATGTTTACAAGTAGCAAAACCAATTGACTTAATGCTAATTCAACATGTAGAAGCGTATGATGGGAACAACTCCAAACTTTAATTTGAAACATTAACCTTTGTAATTTATAAGTGGAACAGTAATTCTGCCTAACTTCAAAACTCCACAATGAAATAGGATTAATTGTAATAACAATGTTTGTTATTTGTTAATAAACAATGATCTAAAATGTAACTAAAAGCAAAGTCAGGAAACAAAATGTTCATTATAAGCAACCATGATTTTAGTTGAGATTTGGCAGGGACAATTGTGGGAGACAGTAGAATAAAAAATGTTTCACAAGAAGAATATTACATATTAGTACATGTATTTAAACACATTTTCAGTGGGTGCCAGGAGCAGGTGCTAGGCCACAGCAGGCTCCCTCTGGTGTACTAGATGTGATAGGGGCAACAACCCAGGCTAGCTCCTCTGATCCCTGGGGATCACCTCTAGCCCCTCCTCCTGGGTCACATAAACACCAACAACCAGCGCCTCCCCCTCAGGCTGCAGCACAATCCCCTAAGGCCTCTGCTGATCCCTGGGGTGATGCCTCGGGTGACACCCTAGCTGACCCATGGGCAGCACCAGCCCCTACCGCTGCCCCCGTAGATCCATTCTCGTCCCCAGTGATACCACCACTGGATTCAAGACAAGGTAGGAAATATTATGTCTCCCTACCAGCCTTATGAACCTTACGACAACAAACAGTACACGTTCTAGAAAACTAAAATAATATGCACATCCTATAAAGATGAGTAAGAAACTAATAGGTTTCATATCCATTTCATGAGTAGCCATAAATGTACTCTCCATATAATAGTAAGAATTAGGTAAAACCACTGCTTTGCTTTAACCTGTAACCAGCACCCACATTGATATAATAACCAAAGACTCCATTCTTTCAGCTGCACCTGTGGACCCATTTGCAACCCCTGGAGCCCAACCCCCCAGTACAAATAGTCCCTGGGAGGCCCCAGCCTCAGTCCCCACTGCAAGCTCTAAAAATACTGCATTTGGCGATCCCTTTGCTCCTGCCCCTGCAGCACAAAATGGAAATGGCTCGATTGATGACGCATTTGATCTATTGAGTGTGCGTTCCTCAACAGAGGTTGCTAATGTGACGTCAACTTCCAGCACCAGTAGCCCTCTTATGACAGGTAGGGTAGCATAGATAAAATGTGTGCAAAGCAGATGTAATTTTGCAATATTAAATGTGGGCAAGTTGGATATAATGTGGCTTAGGCAGATATAATGTGGGTGAGACAACTAGAATGTGAGCAAGGCAGAAACAATGTGAATGGGTTCCAAAAAAGTGTTGGCGGCGAGGCAAATGTAATTTTGGTTGGGAAATATAACATAGACAAGGAAAATATGCTGTGGGTGGTGGAAAATATAATCAAGGTGGAATGCAGATAAAATGCAGTGCACATATTAATCTGAACAAGTTTTTAAAACATAAATAATGTTGTGTTAAAGTGCTCTTACAAATAACATATAATGAATATCTATGGTTTCCAGCCAAAGACATAGAATTTTTACTACGTTGGGAAGAAGCAGGTTTGTATAAGATGTCTGTAAATATACAGTCCTATACAAAATGTCAGTTTAGTTGACTATGACTGTATCTTTCATCTCAAAGAAAAAATGATTTCAACCAATATATGACTGGAGTTCCAAAAATAGAAAATAAAATATAAAATCATAAGCATTTAAAAATAATTTGAAATATTGCTTGCACTTGAGATGAGAGATGAACGCAACCTTGGTTTCGTGGTCTAAAACAATAAAGCCACTAAGTACTGGATTTTATGTTTGGATATTACATTTACTTACAAATGTGTTTTCTGGGTTTTATTCTGGGTTTTACTGTTGATTTTGTACCAAGTACTAACAATTACTAGAAGAAAATGGAATTAACATTTTCAACAATCCATGAATTTGTAAAATATTCAAACACAACAGCATCAATACATGATTTTATCCTATGCCAAGTAGAGTTTTAGGGAGATAAGTTGGTAAGATATATCCCGTATCCTGATTTTGAGGTTTCCATATCCTGAACCTCCATATCTCCCAAAACCTCCCAGTACATAACCCTTATATATTAACTCCCAGGAGTATATGGAAAGGTGCGGTTGTTACAACCCAGATTATTAGTCATTTTGTGCATGAATTTGCAAAAAGTCTACACTGTCATTTACCCTGGTGTACAGTCTATGTTTTATTTTCACAATTACCAAGCATGGTCATTTACAGATTTGAAATGTTTATCTAAATGGTAATAATCTGTGCATATTACATGTCTCAATGCCTCAGAGTCTATATACATCATACAATAGTTCAATTTTAAAATGCAATCTGCTCTGCTGTTGAGTAAAATTGACTATGACTATGGTCTCTATTTCTTCACCATTTGTCTCCTAGTTGGTTATTTGGGATTATAAAACATGAATTTGACAAATAAAACCTTCACACACTGTCAAATATACTAGTTAGTGCTTTTTGACCTGCTTCTTGAATCAGTGTCAGGAATTTGGAACTCAATTGTCTTAGAATATTGCCACAGTACTACTATAGTAGATTGTGAAAGATAATTGAAATACAGGGAATAGAATCAATCATAATGTTTTTGAGAATCATGCACCTGAATGTGTTTGTGTTTAATTCTAGGCATGCAACATAACAATCTAGGTGGAATTGATGGTCAGAAGATGTCAAAGAGCCCAGAAGGCTTCCTTGGACCTAATGCTAACCTAGTGAACTTGGACAATTTAGTTTCTAAGCCTGCACCAGCCCCAGCGAGTAAGTATTCCTTAATTCTCCTCCTAACACTCACTACTATCTGGTGATATTTTTGTCACACCACCAGAGAAGTAGAATCAGCGTAATGTCAGAATGGTTGCCATAGTGATGGCTCTCCAATTTTTGCCCTCCCAGGAAATACCGCTGATCAGATTTACTTCTGTGCAAATGTTAGGTGGTATCAAGTTCTACAGCTGATAAACTTTACCTTGGACTTATTGAGATATGGTTGGTAAATTTGATGTGTTTTCTCTTGACATTTCTAGATCCTACTTGGTGATGTGATCTCATTCATTCTCTGGCTTGTTTTATACTTATATTTAATAATGGCATTTGTAAAAACATGTACTCTAATAATTTATACTATTCAGAGTTTCACAATGTTAAAATATCAATATAAACTGTAGATACTCTTATCCTTTCAGGTACAATGAACCCATTTGATATGATGAACCCACAGCCTGCACACCAATCAAACCCTTTCCAAGTAGCAGCCCAGCAACAAAGGGTTCCATTGAACCAACTACAGAGTCAGCAGAATGTCGGCTTTACCCAGCAGCAGTCAATCCTCCCTACGCCTCTTTTACCCATGTCACAACAGCAGACTGTACCCATGATGCAGGAGCCAGCAAGCAACAATCCATTTCTGTGACGTAGCCCCAGTAGTATGGTATATATGTAGACATATATTGTGCTAGGGAATGGGACCAGAATTAGCCAGGAATTTAGCATAAAGCAGACAGAAATTCAGTATTGTGGGAGGAAATACAGCATGTCATTGAAATTAAGCATGAATTAGCTTATTGGTGAGGACATGTTCTTTTGAGTTGAAACATGAAATGTTCATAGTTACTTTTATTTTACATAAAAATGTAAATTGTAATAAAATTCCATGACAAGAGAATTGATATTCAAAGAAGAAGCGAAAAAATTGAAAATATTAAGAACTAGAAAAAGCATATGAAACCAGCATAAGTGAACTCTCCTGGGACAAATAAAATGGTCAAATTGAGAGGTGTTCCCAGATGGAGTCATGAAACACAGAATAAGGAGAATTTTCCCACTTGGATGTTACATTCTAATGATACTGTTTGTGAAGAATCCATGAGAAGACATTCATTCATTTTGATTCAGAGGGGAATTATTTTATATAATAATTTGTAAGTTCATGTATTTATGAGATAGCGTTGTAGTTTAAAGAAATGATAAGTTGAGTGCCTCGTATTCATTAAGGAAATGTAGTTGATGAAATGAAGTGTATTAGTTGATGTAAATACGCATGATTGATTCATTGCCATGTTCAATGTAAATGTATCCTTTATTAAATGTGAGATATTACACTTAAATGTAAAATCCAGAACCAGAGCCTAAAATGAGCCATATGTATTTCAAACTGTGTATGAATTAAATCGATTATAAAAAATAAGGTGATGGCTATTATTTGAAAGTAAATGGTGGGTTATGGTGCTTTACTCTGGACCCATTTCTTGGCATGTTATCTGACTCTTATAATTTATATGGAATATAATACTGTATGTAATGTATGAATTATGAAATATTTGTATGTTGATTTGTGTTTATACAAAAATCTACACTGTGAGTGGAGTAAAATGTTAATACTGCCCATAAGTCTGCTTTTTTCATAGCAAATGGATAATGTCATCGTGAATTGTGATTCTGAACTTAATAATGAGATTGCAGTTTCATTACAATATGAACAACAATATGAAAAAATGAAAGCAAACATTTGCCCCATACCTTTAGAAATTGTCAAAAGTGTCACGCTTTTTAAACATTAGCCATTCAATATGAAAAGAATTAATTTGATTTCATGTTTCACTAAACACTTTTAGTATTGTAAATTGGTTAAATTTTGCGCATTTGACAATTTCATCACTGTCACGGTTATGTAATTTGAAAAAAAGATTTAACTAAAGAAATATATCAAAACTTAGAGAATATGTGGATTAAAGTGGTTGCTAAATTAAATCAATATACAGTCTTTTTTACGGGTCTTTCTTAACAAAGCTGTTTTGTTTCCGTTGATGTGGATATTTTCTGTGGACTGCCTGTTTGCTTTCATATTTGCTATTCCCCGTGTAGTATTTATAGTATTTAGCATGGAAAGCATGACCATTTTAACATTTTTTAAAGGGTGATGATGTAGTGTAGAAAAATCAATCGTGGTCTGTCACTGCTTTTCTAGATTATTTTTGCAAGAAAAATGAATATGGTAAAAATTGAGGAATATTTGTAACACTTCACATGTGCATTTATAGTGGTTTTGAAAAAATAGATGATAAATTAAGTTTTGTATATACCTAATATGTTAACCGTCTCTTCATCTTTATTGTGCATGCATTTAGAAATGATGGCATTATTGTCATGTCAGTAACTTGCACATATAATCCCTATAATTGACTATTTATATGTACAGGTTGACCCATAAATATTGAGAAATAGATTTGATAATTTTCATGAAACGATGACCAATGTGGTAATAGAATAGACTTTTCACTTGAAGTTGTACAGTGCAAGCCAAAACTGATTCAATACTGTCTTGAAGTTATAATATAAATAATGCCATGACTGGAACCATTAATCAATTCATGCATGGGCTAATTACCTAAAACGCTGTTGTCTTGGTATAGGTTACTTTTAGCATATACCATACATCTTATACCTTAGAGTAGCATAAAAATTGTGATAATTTTATAGTCAATATATTCTCCTTTAAAAACTAATCAGCTTTTATGTTCATAGAGAATTTCAAAGCGAGCTTGTTAATGTTACGTTAAATATGATTTTTAAAAGTTTATTTTTAAAATACACTTGTACGTTGTATTTTACATACAATTCTAGGAAGATAACAAATATAAATCCAATTTAAAATACAACTTGCTTTCTTGTTTTGATTTTTTACAGGTTTATAAATTCTGGTGTTTCTGCATCAAAAGGTCATAATAAATAGTTAATTTCCACTTTGTGTTATAAATAAAAATCCAAACACACAAATCCTCTCATCATTACTACTGTAGGCTCTGAGGCTACTGAAATTATTTTTGAATATTTGTTCATTTTAAGATTTTCCTTCCCAAAAATTAACCCCATTATTGTCCTGCAAGGATTAGTTTAGCTATTAATACACATCATGATTCAATGCATGTTTAAGCATGAAATATTAATTATTAGGAGCATCTTGTATCAGATGCTGGCACAGTTTTGCCGGAAGTTTGCAAGAAGTAACTTTTGGCAATGCAGTATGTTAGAGTAACCTAGTAGGTGTAAGAAAATATAAGGTGATGGCCTTTAAAGTGGTAAAAACAATTTTCACGGCCGAATTGGACTTCAATTCCTGCGATTTCAGGGGGTACTATAAGACTATTTCATAACATAAAGGATATAGTTGCTATTGTTCTGCTTTCTACAGCACACATTACTAGTCCAAAGATGAATAATATCGTAAAGTTATAGGCCGATATCTGTATTAGTCTCAGAAATATTGCAATTAATAGGAAAAAAGTACGCAATTTTAGTCACTTTTAAGTCTCACGTATCTTATATTTGTAGCTTCCAGCAAAAGATGGCAGCTTAAATAGCTCAAAATTGTTTTCTTAAAACTAATTCAAGCTTTGTTTGATATTGTAATACAATTATAACTAGATTTGTGAAATTGAACAAGTTCAATTTAAGACTCCAGATTTATTTGACCTAGATAGATCAGTAAAGAGCTGAGTAAGTAACTGAGTAATTAGTTGAGTAAGTACCTTAGTAGTAGTTGAGTAAGTAGCTGAGTAAGTAACTGGGTAAAAAGCTGAGTTAGTAGCTGAGTAAGTAGCTAAGTAATTAATAACTAATTAAGCAATTGAGTAAGTAGTCAAATAAGTAGCTGAGTAGGTAGGGAGGTAAAGTAGGGTATGTAGGACTTTTTGAAAGTTTATTTGATCAATCTGCATCGTGAATACTGGCAAGTGCGAATTTCAAACTTCAAAATGGCTTAGAATCTTAACCGGGGGTCGGATTGCAATTTTAATTTCAGATCCGGATTCCTTAGGAAATTATGCCCCTAATTCATAACTCATACGTTAAATTTGGAGAACTTTTTATTTTGACCTACATTTCGATCACCAGATCTCAAAAGTGGGTCTAAAAACTTCTTGACGGCAAAAAGTTAACATTATAAGCACACTCTTTGCTACATGTATACAAAATTTCGAAGAATATCATTGAAGTGTAGTGTCCGAATTGCAAAAATAAGAAAAAACTAAGAATTTGACCTAGATTTTGAACTAGGTATTTTGGTGTCCAAATTTTGAAGGAAAGTAGCTTTTGAGGTCCCCTTCTTTTATGGGCTTTCATTATGTTTAGCTGTACTCATTCTATATCTTGTATTTTTACACTTCAAAAAATTATTCGGTCCCATTGATTTAACATGGGGCACCAAATTTAGCGATTTTTGAGCTTTCAAAACATCATAACTTCTGAACAAGATGTCGAATCGAAATTTGGTTTGCAGATTCGGATTCCTGACAAAATTCTACCCCTAATTCATAACTCATACGTTAAATTTAGAATTTTTTATTTTGACCTACTTTTTGGACACGCCATTACTTCCGAACCGGAAGTCGGATCGAAATATGGTTTGCAGATTCCGATTCCTGACAAAATTCTACCCCTGATTCATAACTCATAAGTTAAATTTGAAGAATTTTTTATTTTGACCTACTTTTGGGACACAATATCTCAAAAGTGGGTCAAAATACTTCCTGACGGCAAAAGGCTAACATTATTAGCACACTCTTGGCTACATGTATACACGATTTCGAAGAATATAATTAAAGTGTAGTGTCAGAATCGCAAAAATAAGGAAAAACTTTGAATTTGACCTAGATTTTGACCTTGGCATTTTTGTGTCCAAATTTTTAAGCTAGATGGCTTTTGAGGTCCCCTTCTTTTAAAAGCTTCCATTATATTTAGCTGAACTCAGTCTATATTTCGTATTTTTCACTTCAAAAAAATCTTTTTTCCCATTGACTTAACATGGGCACCAAATTTAGCGATTTTTGAGCTTTCAAAACGATATAACTTCCGAACCGGAAGTCGGATCGAAATTTGGTTTTCAGATTCGGAATCCTGAGAAAATTTCCTACAAGACCAGTAGCGTGGACATTGAATTGGGAGAACTTTTTTTTGGACCTCGTTTTCGGACACTGATATCTCGAAATCGGTTTGAGATATCAAAAAACTAAATCGACCTGTTTTCCCCTACTTTTTTATGAGGAACACAATGAAAAAAACCCGGATTGAAAATATTGAAGGACGACCGAGAAAATTGAAAAAAGTGACAAAGTACTGGATTTGACCTAGTTCTTGACCTTTGACCTAGATAAAAATTTGACCTAATTTCCCAGAAAGCCAGATACATTCCCTAGTTGATCATGTAAGCAGCTTAAAGTAAGCTCTTCTAGTTGGTGAGAAATCTGGGAAGGAGGAAGAAGAATAATAATAATAATAATAATAATAATAAAGAAAACTGGCAAAAGCAATAGACTCCAGATTTTCATCTGGAGTCTAATAATGATAATGTACTATTTATGATTTTTAATATGACTTTATAGTACCCTACCCCTGGAAAGTGGGCGTGGTCAATGTTATAATTTTGCAGCATACAATTAAAAACTTATATTGATAGAAAGCAATTCAATGCATTTTTAACATTTTCACTTGTTACTTGACATTGTAATTCATTCATTACTAAAATATAGGACTCTACATATTTTATATATACGTTTTCAATTTTGTACAATGTATCATGATGAAATCTAATAGGCTGGTTCATTTTCAGTGTTCACTAACGCATGAAATGTAAGTCACAGTGTTTCCAAATTACCTTTGCAATGAGAAAGTACCACAAAGACTACATAATATGAGCAGTTTCAAGGTCCTAATACTAATACTTACCGATCTATCGGCGTTCAAAAATAGAGAAAGCTGTCGTGAGTGCAGTTTTAACTAACTTTGAACTGAAACTGCTGCTTAAAGGG